GTATCCTGTATCTGCACTGGCCAGGAATACCGCAAGCTGTGTCAAAACAAGAAACAAACAGCACACAACCTAAACCCAACAACAACATATACATTTTACGGGATGGAGGGTGGGAAAGTTAGGATCTTTCACTCTTCATCAGGGACTGGTGAGTCCCCTCCCCTTGAGAACCCTTATATCAGCCCTATTCTTGCTACAAAAGTATCCCCCTTAGTACAAGCCCCTTAGCTTGCCCAGCAGTCACATTCTCCCTTCCTTAGTGTCCAGGGAGATTCTTGACTACTGATCCAACCCGAAACCTGTTGCCCAGTAAAAATCATGAGACCAGACACCATAATCCCTGTAGCCCCCTTAGCTGCCGCAGCTTGGCTGGGGTCTCACCATCCCTTCCCACTCTGGACCAAACACCTGGATCCAGCTCCCAGTGGGAATACCTCTCTTCCAAGAGCGTATCGCTGTAGAGCCAGTAAAAGAGGAAGTAATATAGCAGTGTAGCTGTTCCCCCCATATATGAGCCAAGGCTTAATGGTGGGAGTCAACTGTTTATTAAAGGCCACACATGAACTAAGTCTTTTCACATGACTTTTACAGGGCCTGTAGTCCTGGGGCAAAAGGCTTGCAAGCATGCTCCCCAAGTCGATTTGGCAGTTTCATCCCCTGGAATACCACCACTGCGATGCCGCCCCTAACTAACAAACCTACTCAGCATTGCAAACCCCGCAGACAGCATAGCTTCCAAACCTGACTGAAGACCCATGTTGAAAATGTCCAGACCAATGAAATTTAAATGCACGCCATCCTTCCTCATCAAACACACATTGTCACCCTCCAGCTCCACATGCCTAACTACCCACCCACGATACACAAACCTGGAGACTGCCATATTAAGTTTCTGCCTACTACTTTCCTACTTCTTTTCCCGAGCATTAGGAGACCTCTGCCAACACGGTCTAGGAATAACTTCGGACCATATCAGCATAAGATTTTTAAAGAGTGCTAGATCGTGTTGAATGGCATAAATCAGGTCTATCGTCCTGGCTTGCCCAAGATTATTGCCACCCGCGTGACGAGTGTAACCGCACCGGACACAAACCTGCTCAGTGCCAAGCACTAGGGATAAACCAAATCCAATGTTAAATCCCTAATGCCCCTCCACCTAACCTGAGCTACCTCAAATGAAAGCCCAAAATCTCGGCCATATGGGTGCTCCACCGCTCGCCATGCAGCCCAGTAAATGTAGGAATGCACCAAAATCCAAATGTACCGCAGGCCAAGACCTACAAAACAGAATCATAATGAACTTGGTCGAACATACAACTTAAAGTGGCCCGATTCCCACCTACCTAGCTGCTTAATAGTCGCATCCGAGAAACCTAACAAACGCGCTTGCATGGCCCCCCCAATGCGAAAGGAATGCGCTGAAAAATGTCGGCAGTCCACGCTACTGTTTACCAAAGTTGCTCATAACATTGCAGAGAATTGGTAGCGCGTGACCGGGTAGCCATCCTTGTGCATCAGCAAAGAACCTGCTACCCCCGGTCAGATTCCCAAATAACGCTGACACAATTGAACAGGACAAAATTGACCCCAGTAGAACTAATCTGTACCTATAACCTTTACCTACCATGTGTGTCTTGGAACGGTGAACCCGTATGTCCACCGCTGCGTCAGACCATCGAATGTCTGAAAGCAATAATGGAGAAGCCGACCGGAGGTTCTTAGAAACCAACTTACCAACTTGGAATGCTCCAAAAAAAGCAAAAAGAAAACACCACCTGAAATTATAACGCTTCGTACTCCGAGGAGCATACCCTATGCAAGGAGAACAACAATTGCAACAACAGCTCAACTGTAATTGGCCTATGACTATCAGGACCCTTCCTACGCCTCCAGCCCCAAACACCTGTTGAATGACAAAATCATTTGAGATATCCCACCAACCCATGAACTGAAATAAAAAGGCAAATGCTGATAATACTTTTTCAGCCACCGAGCAGGACTTACCCTTCCAAGAATGCCAATGTGACTGCGAACTGACCCGACTCCAAGGAAACTTCCTGCTTGTGAGATACCACAGATAGCCATTGGTGCCAAACTGATCGATAAGCCCTCCAGTAGGCACCATATTCAATACCCCTGGGACATGACAAGCTTTAACCCAAACATTAAACTGCAAACTTAGAAGGACTAAACATCTAAGAAATGCAAACACATGTGGGGAAGCTGAGGATGATCGATTAATCACATGCAAAACACTCATGTTGTCCATGTGAAAAATGACGGCTTGATTGCAAAGATCGGAAACCCATAACTCCAATGCAACAACAATCGGAAACAGTTCCAAAAATATTAAATTTTGCAACAAGCCCGTGTCCCACCAGCCGGCGGGCCACACCTCTGCGCACCACCCTCCCTGAAAATAAGTGTAACGGAGCCCCCTGTACTCCGACCGAGTACCCTCCGTTGATGGATGCTCCTAGCGCTTCCTGAGGACTCCAAACACTGCAGCCGACACCACAACCACCGCAGACTCCACAACCGCCGTAGCTTAACTGGAGTCTCGCCGTCTTCCTTCCACCCTGGATCAGCTTCTGTCCTCCAGGACCGTGTGGGGAAGACCTCTCCTCCAGGAGAGCGTAACAGGAACAGCTCTTAAAAGAGCTAAGTGATTAAAAGCTCAGGGGAGTATGCAGAGCATAGCAATCCCCAGTGTGATATAGCAGTTCCCTCCAATAACGAGACAAGGCTACGTATTGAGGGTCAAGAAGATCTGATGTTTAATGGCACACACTCTGCTTTTATGAGATTCTGCCCATGCAAGGGAGACACCCACATAATTAGCAGTATAACCAATCGGAACAATATACATTCGGGGAAATTCCCATCCCTCAGATAATCACATAACATAATTAAAACAGAACAGTACAAATACAGTTTTTATACATGTACTATAACTTCCAAACTACACATCCAATCTTCATAAAAATTACATATTTGGAATCAATCCATTAAGGGGAGCAACATATTAAAAATGGCACAAATCAGACAAGGGGTTCAAAAGTTAGCAAAAGTGTCTTTTGGGGCCTGGCTGGCAGCATGGTTTTCTGGCCCAAACCGGTTTTACAGAGGCCTCTATCCTGGACAATGGGGAAAGTAATCCAATTATCCAGGGATAGAGGCAGACTCCATTAACCACATGTTAGCAAAAGACACAAAAAGACACAAAAATACATAACTCCTATTGAACTGAACAGAACCCCCACATTCAACCTATCCCCAGATGGCTTGGATCTGAGCGCTCAATATATCCAAACAGCGCTCAGATCCCACAAATACAGTCAAATCGCCATACACACTAGGTCCATAGTCATGGGGCAGAAGGCTGGCAATTAGGCTTCTCCATAACACAGGGAAGCAGGGCAATTTGTCAAATAAAATAACAGTTACAAATGGCAGTTTGTAACAATAAGCACTAAACTCAACGGAAACCGACGCTTCCTTAAACAGATCCAAGACAGAATAAACCGTCGTTTCCTGCAGCCAGGACAAATGGCCGTTGTATCGCCCCAAGATGGAGCTCCACACCTGCAGGCTATTTCAAAGCCGCATCGTGACCCGAACAAAGTGAAAAAGTTCCCAAACTCCCACTGCAGCCAAGGACAAATGCCTATAAAAAGCCTTTCCCATGGGCAGAACCCTGCAGGCGAAGACCAAATGGCCCAATAAATTTTGCATCTGGCTTAATTAAAAACTTTTTTTGCTCCTTTCACCCAATCCATGAGGCTAAGCAAAACCAACAACTTGTCCCCCGGAAGCTAAAAAAAAACATGAGGACTGCGTCGATTTCTATAAAAAGGACAGTCGACACTGGCCCCACAGTCTTGTGCTCTGCCACCGGAATTCCAAATTCCGTCATAACGCGCCAAAAAGTCCAAAGCAGCTAACTACAAACCTGCAACGAAGCAAGACCGAGGATCTGCCACTAGAGCTGTTAACCATTTCAAACAGGTTGCAAACATTTCAAAGTAAAAACAAGAAATGGCACAACCCATGGGGAGGCACATATCATAGTAATACAGCTCCTGCGATTGGCAATCCAATAGGTGGAAGCAGTCAGAGTGCACCGGTAATAAACAAAAAGCGGTTTCAATGTCCGATTTAGCCATAAGCGCCACAGGCCCAACCTCTCACAGCAGCTCCAGAGCTCTATGGAAAGTAGTTTAGTGCACCTGGCATGCCTCCCTGTCGATGTCATCATTGACTGATCCCCCCGCCAGGTAGGACAAGTGGTGAATCAAGCGAAAACACACCAGCTTCCTTCTTTGGGACCAACTCCAATGGCGAGACCCGCAGGTTAAGAAAAGGCAGAAAGTCAAACAGACCTGCCATTCTACCTCTGCATCTAGCTTGGCCTGCAGAAGGACCTCCTTAACTCTTACTGAACAAAGATTTTTTTAGAAAACGTAAACACCTCAGATGCCACAAACTGGATCCGATAGAAAACCCTTCATGCAGGACCATGGCGTTGTGCCGCGTGTGCCTGGGCACACCCTAATTCCCGCAGGCACTCTGCCGCCCCCAAATGCCCTCCTCCTCTCCCCATGTTCCCCCTGTCATGGGGGGGAAGCTAGAGGTGATGGACACACCCCCTCGCCGGTCGGGCGCCTATCTCCATACAACAAGCGGCGAGGGACCTGTGTGCTCTCTGCTTTCTCTCGCCGCGCGCCGTTTGCTGATGGCGGGAGCCGGAATATGACGTCATATTCCAGCTCCCAGCTACAGCAGACAGCCCGCGCGGCGAGAGGAAGCAGAGAGCACACAGGTCCCTCACCGCTTGTTGTATGGAGATAGGTGCCTGACCCACTGGACCTCAGGGACAAGTCCATGCCAGCATTCAGGTATGGAGGCTGGGTGGACAATTTTTAATTAAAAAAAAATAATAATAATAATTTGTGAATGTGTGTATGTGTCTGTGAGTGTGTGAGTGTGTCTGTGAATGTATGTTTGTGTGTCTGTGAGTGTACGCGTGTATATATACACACACATATATATATATATATATATATATATATATATACACATACATACACACACACACACACACACACACACACACACGAGTGTATGTTATTTTTTGGGAGGGTGGGAATCTTGGGAGAGTTCCCACACTTTATTCCCCAGGACTTGACCCCTGCCGGCAGGGGAGATCTATGGATCTCCCCCGTCGGCTCATGCAGAGCTGGTGCTATCTGAGTGCTGGCTCTGCTCTAAGCCTCCATGGGCCGGCGGGGAAATCAAAGATCTACAGCACCAGCCCACAGCAGTATGGAGGGAGGCAGGAGAGGACCCGTGGAGCTCTAGACAGAAGCTCCGACAGGTTCCTCTCGCGAGATCTGAGCGTTGCCGCGGCAATGCTCAGATCTTGCGAGAGTTAACTCTAGCCCCGCAGTCTAGAGTTCACTCTCCCTTGGACAGCAAGGATCCCCCCTCACTAAATAAGGTAAGAAGGGAGGGGGGTTATTTACTAATCTGCCCCCACCTTCACAATCCCTCCAAACATACAGCACCCACACACATACACATACAGCACCCCTACACACATACAGCACCCTAAAACAAACAGCACGCACACACAGCACCCTCACAAACACACACACACAGCACCCTTACAAACACACAACACACTAACAGCACCCTCACACAAACAGCACACTCACACACAGCACCCTCACAAATACAAGACACAAACAGCACCTACACACACCACACAAACTGCACCCTCACACACACATATCACACAGACGGCACACTAACAGCACCCTAACACACATACACAAACACCCTCACACACAGCACACAAACAGCACACTTACACACACAAACCACACCCTCACACACAGCACACTACCAACACCCTCACACACACAGCACCCTTACACAGCCAGCAGTATATGTATGTGTGTATATATATATATATACATATACATACATATACACACACACATACACACATACATATATACATACACACACACACACACACACACGCGGCTTGTGTTTGTGCTTTAGGGTGCACACCCTAATGCAATAGGCTGCGCATGCCTATGCGTGCCGCCTAGGGCATTGCTCGAGCCACAGGCACATCCTAAGATGCTCACCGGCGTCCTCCCCTTTAGAAAACTCGCCTTGACCCGTACCACGTGACACTGGTTTCCCTTAACAGAAACATTGCATAGCAGAGTGTGTTTCTGGCTTGTCATGCTCGGCTGTCCAAGGTATATACTGCGCTGCATACCACCAGAGTGCCTGGGTGGCATCTTCCAGCCACAGCTCCTGCCATACCCGGTGCTCCAGTTCCTTTATCCACTCCTCCAGGGGCTGCTCTCCCAGGAGGGGCATCCGCAGTGCCACTCGTGTCTGCTGTCGCTGCTCCTCACTGGGGAGTCCCTCGCCCCGCTGGTGCTGTATATGATCCAGTGCCTGGTACCAGATGCCTTCACGTACTGCATCTCAATCGTCCATGACACCCTCATCGTATAAAACTGCTGGTTCCATCCTGCTGCTGTCAGGGTCACTGTACTCAGACATGCGTTACCCTCAATTTGTAAATCAAGGGAATGGTGTTTCCTTGTAGCTGTCCTTCTGGGCTGTGGGAATGATCCCGCCGCTTGCCACCAATTGTAACGGCACCCCCAGGCATAAAAAAGGGGTTAAAAGCCGTTTAGGAGATATTCCTTTCCAGATATACAGGCAGCTACTGTAGACACCAATCCATCGAACTGGAGAAGCATACGAATGCTCTCAAACATGCGAATGCTGTAAACAGCCGAATAGGAAAAACCATACGAATAGGTTTACACTCCTAGCAGTCGAACTGGAACAGCTTACAACAAGTCCCCCCAAGAACGAGACAAGGCTCCGTTTTGAGAGTCAAGCAGGAACAGACAGAGCTGTGGGTTTATTGTTCTTATATACACACACATTATACACATTAGTACCACCCACAGGGTTTTAGAAAACAACCAATAAACATGTACAATACACTCAGACACTCCCACACAAAATCCTCCCCTCTGCCTGTGATACAATTACCTTACACAATGGGTAATGTAATTATCACAGGCAGAGAAATACAGTTTTTCCACATTATTCATAATTATAAAAGTATGCATCACATTCAAATAAATACATTTTCAGAATCAGCATACTCCAAATACAAACATACGTCAAAATCATACAAATTGGTCCAGTGGTTCAAAAGATAGATCGTAGTCCTTTGTGACCAAATGAAGCATGGTTTTTCTGCCCAAAACCAGTTCCACAGAGTCTTCTATCCTGGAGATAATTGGGAAGTAATCCAATTATCTCCAAGGACAGAGGCAAAACTCCATTGAACACATGGCAGCAAAAGACAATAAAATACATAAAAATATATAAAACTGTGCAGCCATTGCATAAAACAGGTACATTCAACATATCCCCAGATAGCTCAGATTTGATCGCACATTATTACTGCATGGCACTCAGACTACACACATAAAGTTCAATTGCCATGGAGCCAAAGTCTTTCCCATAGTCTTTCATTATACGAATGGGCTCCATGACATAGCTATATGGGGCATCACCGCTCAAACAGGGCAAGCACCGAATGACCCGGCTTTCGTGTCTTTGCAGGGGGAAAATCAAGCGTTTTAACATGGGGCAATAGTCTAAAGGCAGCAGATGGGCAACCTGGCTCCTCCAATGCACAGTGGTGAGATTGCTCTCGTCACAAGGGCACTCACCGATGACGTGGCATCCAGCTCTGACCTTCTTCCGGCACTTGTGCCCGACGTCCTGACATCACTTCTTGCCTCGCCAGAAGAGAAGCTGGGCTGAGCGATCTTCACACCATTTCATAACCATCTTGGCCCATTCTTCCAGCTGCACCACTGATCCATCGCCTCCTTCAACCCGAACCAGGGGAAACCGGTAAAACTCTGCCACAAGAGCCAACTTCGTCCAGCTATCGGCCTCACCGGACTGGGGGACAGACGCGTGGGAAGCCTCATCCACCTGGCCCTCTGACCGCCTTCCAGATACTCCTCCGCAACTCTCTCCTCCACCGCTGACCCGGATTTCCGCTCCACTCCTGCCAGGACCTCGTCCAGGGATCCAGCGCCGTGCGGTTCTAGGTAGGCTTGTAGTAAGACCACCATTGCATCACAAGAAACTACCATGACCATCTGTCACTTTATTACAAAGTCTTCTGGTCTGAATTGGAGGTTTGTTAGAGGTTGCTGGTTCCGTTGCTGTTGCCATTTAAAGCAGAAAAGTTAGGATCCTTCACTCTTCGTCGGCAACGGATGAGTGCCCTCCCCTTGAGAACCCTTATATCAGTCCCATTGTTGCTACAAAAGTATCCACCTTAGTACCAGCCCCTTAACCTACCCAGCAGTCATGTTCTCCCTTCCTTAGTGTCCCAGGAGATTCTTTCCAGCCCAACCCTGACATACAGTCATCTATTCAAGAGTCTTCAGTGAACAAAGCACACACTCATGAAATAGAATTTCCTATCTAGATGCCAAGAAAACAGGTCTGTGTTTAAAATAAATGAAATGCTGAAGTACTCACTAATTTGAATAAGAACCATTCCATTAATAAGAACAAAACAAATGCCTATTATAGTACTGACTGAGCTCTTCTGTCTGAATTTCCCTCGTCATAAATGCTGTCGCTGTCAGTCTGAACCTCCCAGGTAATAGAATGTTATCAGGGTGCTTCTCAGAGCTTTGAGTAATGAAATGTACATTAAATCAAGAACAATAGAAACAGCCCGCTAATGCTGCATAGTAATTAGACAAGTCATTCTTTTTGTTTTCGATAAATGCATATGACTTAAGACTTCTTCCTCAAAACCCATACTTGTGCCTATCACTTTGTAACAGCTTGGGGTGAACAGAGGATTAGTTAAGCTTTGTAAATCTTGCTTTAGTTCTGCTATGGAAGGCAGTTACCATAACCACCTCTATAATTTAGCAAATCTGTTTATTTGTGAAATTTACAATCTGTGTTACTCTGTGCAATAAGAATATTTTGCTATTTAATTCTGCATATTTCTACCAAGAATGTACCAAATTACATTTCCTGATATGTACTCTCAAGGTACGGTATTGTTTAAAACCTAAAAGTGGCTGCCGCTAAGGGATCATGGACTTTTTAAACTTTAAGGGCTATTGGTCAGTTTAAAGCTAAAAGTGCTCCTATAAAAGTACCCTTCTTTTTTTTGTTTGTTGCTGTGGTTTTTCTCATAATGCAAGGCTACGTTCCACAATGATTAATTTAATCTACTCCTATTCTTTTTGGACTAGAAAATCTATGAGGACTTTTTTAAAAGGACACTATAGTCAGCTTAATGTATTTGTTCAGGTGAGATCTATAGCTCCCTGCAGGTAATCTAATGTAAACACTGTATTTTCAAGAGAAAATACAGTGTTTATATTGATTGATAGGAATACCTCCAGTGGCCGTCACTCAGACGGCCACCAGAGAGACTTCCTATCATGCAGGGCCCTAAAAAGGCCCTGTACACGTCAGACGTATTAAAATACGTCTGACGTGTGCAGGAGAGAGAAGGCATTGTATGCGCGTCTTCTCTCTTCTGCCTGTCAGCAGAGGAGGGGGCGGGCAAAGACCGCAAGCTGAGCTGTCAGCTCAGCTCGCGGCCGCGCACACCGGGCACATGCGCGGTAGTGCGCTCAGGACTTCAGAGGGCCGCATATATGCCGCTCTCTGAAGTATGTGCGCATGTGCGGCGAAGCCGCTCATGCGCACAAGGGAGGAATGACACTTCAAATTGGAAGCGTCTGATTGCTCCCTGTTCGCGCCCGCCTATTTTGTCATTTTGACGAAATAGGGGGCGCGGCTTCACGAGGCTCCCGGCGCTGGAACCAGGTGAGTAAAAACTGCTGCCTGGAGAGTCCCTTTAACTATTTAGATTCAAATTGGACATTTCATTGCAGGTGCAGGGTTTTAATTATCTTTCATTACTCAAATTTCTGTAATTAGTGATATTTTTATAGTTTAAGTACATGTAATATTTTTCTGATTATAAATATATATATTTTATAAAGCTATTGCTTGAC